TTTTTATTCCTTTTATTCCTGATGTTTTTTTTTTACTGCCTCTTTTGAATTGTGTTTAAATATGGTTTACTCTTGTGTGTTTATTAAGGACTGATTTGTCTGAATGCCAAGCTTCCGGGAATTCCCGACACTTTTCCAGGTATTTAGCTTGGTAAAGGATGCTCAGTTTTCCAGTTGAAATTATAATTGAATCTGTACATGTGTTGTGAGCTTAAGGAGTTTTAATTGTGTCTTCTGACCGCTACTTGGTATTCATGGCTGCACATTGCTAGTCTTTTGCCTGTCTGTCCTACATAATGGCTATTAAGAATACAACATTCAGTACAACATACGGTACAACACACAGCACAACATACAGTGTAAGAACTGTTCATCCCTGAGCTGCATATATTCTCTTCAATTTAAACCTCCTGTTTCACTAAACGAAAGTACTAAGAATGAGGTGGGGCCAATGAAGCCTCTGCGCTTTCCCTTCACGCGACAGTAATCGCACAACATTTAGAAGTGATGCAAACCAAACATTTAAAATAAACAACCATATCCTGAGCCCTGTGCTCTATCTATACAATAAGCACTGCAGTGTTTCCCTCAAATATATAGTAGGCAGAGACTTTTCACCAGAATTGAGTTGAGAATTGCAGTCATAAGTCATTGCAGTTGTAAATTGAGGCACCACGTGACTGGAAACCATTTTTGCAATGTTCATAGAGCAAGTCACTGAAAATCACGTGGCCATTGAGCAGATCCAACAGAGCCAATGGTTTTGGGTTTTTTTTTGCCAGAAAACAGTAAACAAAAGTTGAAAATCATGGTCAAGACTGTGTGACACTGCAATCAGTCCTAAATGTGAGCCAGTTGCCAAGCACCAGAAATGCAATCATGTGACCATAGGTGTGGGTGTGGGTGTGCAGCAATTGTACTCTCAAGGATGTGTCAAAAGTTGCTTTTTTGAATCCCGCTGTAACGTTTAAGGTTTGATAAGGAAACACTTGTAAATCCAGGATTAACTATAGTACTGCTGATGGCTACAATTTTTATGAGCAGTTCATTTTTAAAAGGGACCATATTACGTATGAGTCTATGGAGATTCCCAGTCATCGAGGTCATGGTTGCTTTTTCAGGACTTTGTTTTTTCTTTTGAAGACGTTTTGCTTCTCATCCAAGAAGCTTCTTCAGCTCTAAAGCTGAAGAAGCTTCTTGGGTGAGAAGCAAAACGTCATCAAAAGAAAAAAAACAAAGACCAATTTCCTCCTGAAAAAGCACCTTTGGGACAACCATATTCCATGTTTATCCAACCCATGAGTGAAGCAACAAAATAAATGAACAATACTCTGCTGTATAGGCCTCCTGTATAGGCCTCCAACTTAAGAAAAAAAACTTTCTTAAAATGTCTAAAATGGTATTCTCTTTGAGGCTTATTTTTAAGGACATTTAAGAGGGGGGAAAAGACAGGGATTGAACAACATTTGCTGAAATATCAGTCTTGAATTCTAAATCCTGCTAGATGGGTCGATCAACATGAGTTTGAAACAGGTAACTTTACAGTCAAATGCACTGCAATAGGTCACATAAAGCTAGGATAGGCAATAATAGCCTTACTTTTATGACACTTTAGAAGTTGAGGTTCCAGAATGTAACAGAATTTGACAAACTCAGCAGCTTTGAAGATGACACTTAGTAGAAAAGTAATCATCCCATTTCTAAATAGATTTCTGTTAAAAGTTTGTTTTAAAACTACTTATAGAATAAAATATTGAAATGGCTATTCTTCAGAATTCATGCCTCATCCATTTTCCCATTTGCCTCACTTTTTCCGGTATCATTACAGTATTACTTTTCATGTTATTCATCAAAGCTTCCACTCCTTCTCAGCTACAGTATAAATATTGTGTCAGGCCTGTAGCCGGTTCCTTTTGNAAAACGGTGCATAGGGAGGTTGCATGTGCCTGTGTGGGGGGAGGGTAAGGGGAACACAGGGGGTCATGTGTGCATGAACACAGGGGAGTGTCATGTTCACATTACATTATGGGTGTGGCATGCGTGCTTTCGGCACACAACAACAAAAAGGTTAGCCATCACTGCTCTAGGGAAATGAGAAGTAGACTTTGAAGAAGCAGGATAAGGAGAATATTGATGCTTTTGAACCTCAGTGTTCAAAAAGACTCCTAAGGATATTATGGACAACCAAGGAAACAAACAAATGGATTGAACAATTCCTCTTGAGGCAAACATGGCCAGGATCAAATTACCATACTTTGGACACATTATTCAAAGACCCACGTAGCTCTCTGAAGGTGGTGGAAGGAAAGAGAAACAGACAATGACAAGCAGCAAGATAGAGAGATGCCGGTATAGCAAAAAACAACGCACTGTTGGATCAAGTTAGGAGCAGGTAGTCATGGAGGAAATGTATCTCTGTACGAGGTCACTTAAAGAATCAACACCAACTAGTTAGCACATAATCAGTCAATCATTCTGGTCGTTCTTTCTATAGTTCACCTCTTGAAGCCAAAATGGAGCTCCAAATGCAAGTATCATACATTTCTACAATGACATCACAGATTGGCAGTTTTATTTTTAATCCCTTTCTGAACTGTTCCTGCCATGGAACTGGTATTTTTGCCCTGTGCTTTTTTCGTTTAACAGCAGTTGCACACTAGGCTGACATTTATACCTATCTCAAATATCCCTTTCCTGAATAAACTTTACTAAATCGGAACCCGCAAATACATGTGATATTTAACTTTGTGTATGTCACTATGAATCACTATTCTTACTTCTGTTAATATTCATCAGAACAAAATACTCAGATATATTTTATGTAATTTTGGGAAAGGTCATTGATAGACTGACATTTTAGAACAGTTTTATGACTCTATCTCTATGCATGCTTGCGGAGAATGAAATGCTATCAACCTTAGCAGAATTTGTTTTCAAGACTATGCCTGATTCTGCACTCTAGAATAGTTGAATTCAGTGAAATACTATATGAGATTTAGAATATCAGGTTGCACTCCAACATTAAAAATCATTGAGAAATGGTTAAATTTAACCAGGATAGTCTAATTCCAATCTTCCTTAGCCTTTTGGCCTCCAAAGAATTGTGAATCAAAAGATACCAGGTTGGGGATCATTAGGATGATCTGAAATTTGACTGCCTTGCAGGAATTGTTATGCATTTATATAGAAATGTATATGAAAATTCTTTTTTCATATTTCTTTTCAATTATATTTTTGTTTGCTTTTCTCTATTGTTCACAATTCTTTACTAACCTTTTGTTACTCTACTCCTTTTCTTTAACATTATACTGCTTTTCTTCTCCAATGTATATTTTTGGTACTCCCCTCCCCCCCACTAATTAATGAGAGGCTCTTTATGTCACATTTTATGACAAAGATAAAGAAGTTGGAAGAATCATCCCTTTCTTTGGAGTTCTCCTTACCTGTTACAGAATTTTGAAATGCTTGATTTGTAATTGCTTCTCAGCTTGCTTCCCTGCCAATTTTAGAAGAAGCAGCCTACACAAACAATTACCAATTTTTGTTTAAATGATTTTTAGAGCTTTGGACAGAGTCCTAGTTGTAGGCATAAAATGCTTACCGCTGTGTAAATGAAATGGGGGAGAGGGAAGCTCCCTTTCCCCTATAAAAAGAAAATGGCAATACTAAAACTAAATCTAGTGATCTACAAATCACCAGTGGCTTTATTTAAAAATGGAACACTGCTATCCATTAGGTTTTCTGTAATGGAAAGTGTCATAGTACTAAGCAAAAAAGCTAAGAAGTGACAGCATAATCACTCAATCAACAACCCACACAGAAAAAGTCGAAAGATGTCAGCCTGAAAATCAACAGGTCCGCTAACCTTTGAGCAACCCATGCAGCTAAAAGAAAAGAGACGCTCAGCTGAACCTGCACATATATGGCCATTTATTTTATGTTCAGCCCATAAATTCTACCTACTAAAAGGCTTATTTGCCATTTCAGATTTTTAAAAACCCTCAGCAAAGAATTATTTCTCTCTGCCATTTTTTTCTCCTTGATATAAATCAGCAATCTTCTGATATACTGTATAAGGAAAAATATTTGAGCTGGACAACTTTTGACCTCGATAGATCTGCACAGCCTGTTGCTTGAGACTTTTTCATGTGATAAATAGAGAGAATGTTCTTTGTGTTAAGCTCAGTTCCAGGTGGCTTCATGGAGATATTGTACTTTCTTCAGAGAGGTTGTTTTTTTTAAAAAAAAAAACTTCTTAGTCTAACCTATAGAACTCACATTTTCTGATCCAAATCAGGAATCAAATCAGTCCATCCTAATATTAACCAGGTCCAATCCTGCTTGATCAACCAAGCTTCAGCTGGATGTGATGTGGCCCGCCAGCAGATCTGGCAGTAAATTCGGACAGTGAGGACATTGGGGAGGAACATGGGCCAGTTCTGGAGTCTGAGGAAGGCTCTGATGAGGGCTCTGCGTTGGAAGCAGAGATGGAGCCAGAGCCTTATGCCAGTTATCAGCTTCCTTNTAGTTGAAGGGCTGGTATTAGAGACATCTGATCATAAATGCTGATTTTTTAAAAAGCAGCAAGTAGAGCCTTGAGTTCAGTGAAAAGGAAAGGAAAAAGGCAAGCATGCAAATTGCTAGAATTCTTGGTTGTTGTTTTTTGTTTTGCTTTCTTTTTTTGCCTATATTAAAAGTATAGAGACCAATTTTATTTCTGTAAGCCCCAAATCACTGTATATTGTTACAGTAGAGAAAGTGCAAATTGTCATCCTATCAGTTCAGATATATGCTCAGCTCAATCAAGTATGGATCATGCTGTTCATGCAAGGGGATATGGCCCAGAAAACCCCTTATATACTGCTAAGGAACTTTAAAGAAATATAATTTTATTAAAATCCTCCTTGCCTGTTTTAATCCAGATTAAAACAGATTTTTTTCCCCCCAGAGGAATCATTAGCAAAAGGGAGATGAGAGAATAAAATATTTCAACCACTATATAAGGTAGCCTATTTATTTATTGTTATCAACCAAAGGTTAAAGTCCTCTTCTGTTTTGAAAACAGTGGGAGTTGAATTTCTTTTGTACACATGTAATACTGTGCTACAACATGAAGTACATACAAAACATCCTAGATTTCCCTTTTATATAAGGGGAAATTGTACCACTTTTTACTGTTTGCATCCACATCTGGCATACTTCTTCAACCAGAAAATGACAAGTTTCCATATTCCAATGAAGCAGTCCTTAAGAGATGAATTTGAAGACAGAAATCCACCCATCTATGAGAACCGAATTGACCATCATCATCACCACCAAACAAATTCAGCATTTCCAGTACAACTAGTGTTTCTTTTCATTTGCAACTCTAAAGCCAAACCGCACTGATACGAAAATTCAGTTCACAAACTGATCAATAGTCTATTGCTTGATGTATAGTTGCTGTGTAATTCACACACACAGGCAAAAACACACTCTAGCAGATACCTAAGGGTGAGGTAAGTCTATTAAATTGTTACTGGGCTACATAAAGTTTCATATATATTTCTAGACAGGCTTGAATATTCCAGTGGTAATTACGTAAGATGACAATGGGTAGTACCAAATATTTTCAGCAATGTTGTTATATATGTAAATCCTTAAACCACTTCTACAATCCCAAATCTCGTCTTTTTTTTTACAAAAGTCACGTTTTCCCTGTCTTTTCTTCTAAGGATATCATTTGTACAATCATACTGCTTCCTTCTCATAAGAAATGAAGATCAGAATGATCCATCATTTTCCCAAAGAATTCTCCTTTTGCGAGAGCTACATTGTGCCAGATTTATCTGAAGAACTGTTAGGAAAGAGCTTCTCTGTGGGTGTCACTGCAGGACTCCCCATTCCTGAGCTGCTACTGCTACTTGATCGATGCTGGACAACAGGCCTGATGGGACGCATGGGCGGGGGCCTCAGCTGCGCTCCTGCAAGCCGAGCCGAGAGAGCAGGTTTAAATGTCGTCATCATTTCAGTGGTTGAGCTGCTGCTCCGCCTCATAGCGGCATCAGGGTCTCTGATCATGATGGTATGAAGGGGACTGGCGGGTTCAGAATTAACCGAACCAATTTGCGGGTTCTTCATTGGTTCAAGAGTGTCCAGGACAACATCGGGGGCTTGTTTCACAGTATTTTGCCTTTCAAGCTCACGCAGCTCATTCAGGGCTGTGCTCATGGTTTTTTCAATGTCCTGTAAAGACAGAAATACAAACAGAATGTAACCATTCCTTGAATTAGATGATGATCTAGCTTCTTTTCTTATTTACTTGAGGCAGAAGGTTTGATACAGATAACCTTGAGTAGAACAACCGCTTATGAAATAATTTTCATGGGACTGATGACAGTAACCAAGTCTCTGCTTGCCCGTAAAACTACAACATATATATTTCATACTCATACAACGGTCTAGGAATTCAACCCTCTTCCAGGCTGGTTCTCCAGCTACGAATTGTAAGAGCTGAGACCTGAAGTGCAAAGTCTGGAAAGAGTTCACCACACTGAGATACACTGAGAACGTGAAAAGTTATTTTTGAATCCCATTTTGTAGGTAACTCTCAAAATTTCTAAATAAAAATATGACATTTTAGAAACAATCCAATTAAGGACACAGTAGAATTGATAAACAAGTAGATGCAATATCAAGGGAACATGGCTAGTGTACCTGGAGGCTGCATTTCTCATTTCAAATGGATGTGAGCTCTTTCAACTATATCTTAATTTCCACAATGCAATTCCACTTCTTTTAGTTTTGGTACGGCAGAATATCAGGTCAGCCATTCTAGTTAAAACTGAGATGGTAGCACCACCTATCTTATCAAATTAATATTTTTTTGTCTCCTGAAGTATCTTCTCGAATAGAAGGTGTTAAGCTTGCTGTGCATTTGCATCTTACACGAAGCTATCTCTTCTATGTATTTATTATTTTATCAAATTTATACAGCAACTNCTGGGAAGTTGGCCATGGAAAGTTGGCTGTGGCAAGTTGGCCATGGTGAGTTGGTTGAGATGAATTGGCATAGACCCTCTTTTCCTAGCTTCCTATATAATGTCTGGGTTTGGTTCAATGTCAGCCAACAGGAATATTCTCATTATTTATCATTAAGGACAGAGATAGTGTCATTATTTAGCCACATGGGTATTCTCAACAGAAATAGTATCTTTATTTAGCATTCTCATCAAATAGCATGGGGGGGGGGACTAAAGAATTAGTCAGTAAAAGAAACTTTTTCCCCTTTAAAAGTGAGTTAATATGTGTTTCCCACTCCTCTTTCTCTTACACACATACACACCAACACATTTTCTTCCCATTTGTACTTGTATGCATTTTACATTCTCCCTTGAAATCTTTGCTGGGTTGGGTCAAGCCATGCCCAAATGTGTCTGAAAACATAGAGATGAATCTATCAAGAATTTCCCTTGTGCATGACAATCAGAAAACGGCACTTCTGCAGAACAAAATATGTTTAAAAGAGAAATTGCTGCCAGCTGAAGCCTATGCAACAGGGACACAAGAATTTCCTATCAGGAAGTGTGGTCACTTCATCAGCTTCATTCCAAGCCTTGTTATTTAAAACTATGAAGAGATGGACAAAGGACTCTTTCGCAATTCCTAATAGTCAACACCAATTTGACAAGACAGAATAGGTTTTTTTTTTTCTTAAAAAATTAAAGACAATCCTTGTTCTTATAAGAAAACGGAAGAAACTGTACAAGAGATATTTTGATATGTCCATCTCTCCCAAGCACATTTAATCCAAAGATTTGTTCCGGTGCTCAAAAGGCACTTAAAGAGGTTTTTTTTAAAAAAAAAACAATCACTAACAACCAATATAAAATAGAAACAAAAATAATTTAACAAAAGGTATAATGTAGCCTATCTTTAAGGAGAAAAGTAAACCTTCAGATAATTCTTCGGCTCTCATCATTTTCAAAAATATGTGTCACACGCATAAATGTAATCAAAGCATCTCTTCTCCATAAAGCAAAGTAAGAAAAAATATTACTGGCAATGAAAATAGAAGAGTTTGCCAAATGGCTCTCCCTTCCCCACCTGTCCAACTTTGCAATATCCAACCTATGCAAAAACTACATTTGTTGGTTCATTGCTACCACAAATGGAATATTCCATTTGTGGTCATAATGAATTAGGGCAGTCCCCCCCGCAATCTTTGGGGCACCAGGGACCGGTTCCGTGGAGAGAGCTTTTTCTGTGGACCGCAGGAGGCGTGGTTTCGTGTGCTGCCTGTATTCTGCAGGTAGGGATTTGTTCATTTGCATGGCCCGTTTTCTGGCATGTCACGGACCAGTGCCGATCCACGGACCTGGGTTGGGAAGCCCTGAACGAGGGATTGTTCCTATGCTAAGGAAGGCTCAGGGACATGTAGGTAATTTGGGAGGGGGATTAAAAGAATTTCATAAATGAAAAACTAGCACGGTTAACTAATCATGGCATTAAAAATGCCTACTACATTAGCAGACATATAGATAAACACCATTTATCATTATATTATTATATTGAGGAACAATATTAGAATAACTACATACATTCCTTTCACGCTATATATGAGAAGGTCAAAATTCCTTCAGGATTGGAGGTTGTTCTCATTTTTACTGATGCATTTCTAATATACTGAATTATCTATTAAGTGCAAGGATCTGGAGTCACAGGGCCGCAATTAAAATTTAGCATGAAGAAGAAACATCACAGTTCAGCAGATATTTTTCATACTGGAAGCAAGTACAGCAATATATAAACAGGCTCAAACAGGCAAGGGGCAGATTCATGAAATGAAGCGTTCACAGATGGGATACAGAAAATGAGATTCACACAATGTCATGGATGTTCACATCCTAGATGAAAAGGCTACTTCATAGAATATGTTCCTCTTCTATGCAATTTCTGAAAATAGATGGTATTAGGAATCAGAGGATAAATATGCATAAATTTTCCTCCTTTGGCAACGTGGACTGCAATGCTTACAAATTATAATTTG